ATGGGAGCTGATGAAGTGAATGAAAGAGAGCTTAGAGAAAGAAGAAGAGGCCAAAGGGTGAGCCTTGGGGAGCCCCTCAGGGAGGGTATGAGCTGGATGGTGAACCAGCAAAGGACGCTGAGAAGGAGCAGTCAGACAGATAGGAGACAAGCCAGAAGAGAGTTGTGTTGCATAAGCTCAGAAAGGAGAAAGTGGTCAGCAGCATCAGCTATAGCAGAGAGAGCTGAAGGAAGGAAGACTGGGGGAAAAAAATACAAAACATCAGACTTGCTAATTAAGAGATCAGGATAGCCAGGTTGTACAGTGTCCACTGTGGGAGAGAGCCAGACCTGGAGTCAGGAAGACTAGCTTTGTGCATTCAAACCCAGCCTCAGATACTTACTAACTGTATGACCTTGAGCAACTTACTTAACCCTGTTTGCCTCAGTTTCCTCATGTGTAAAATGAGCTGGAGAAGGAAATGGCAAACCACTCCAGTATCTTTGCCACGAAAACCCCAAATGGGGGCACGAAAAGTCAGACACGACTCAAACAACTCAACAGCAAATTAGCAAAGTAAGAGCTCAGTGGTAACTTGGAGAGAGTAGTTTTAGTCAAGTCCTAAAACATGCTGAAGTTCTGGCAGATGACCCGGAGTGTTTTTTAGTTCTAAAGCTTGTGATCCACCCAATGCACTGGACATCACACCGCAGGAAATAAGAAGAGTGTTAAAGAGCTTCCATTTAACAATTTAATGGGGGGCCATTTATATTTACAATCCATACTAACCATTGGTGTAATATGAGCGCTGTGCAAAGTGGTACTTCGTTTTGTAAGTGCTATAAGTGCCTTTTTCAAGCCTCACAAAGTGAAACTGTAGTTTGTGAAATTCAGTGAACAAGTCAGTGTTCGTCCTACCTTTCACTGTTGTACAGTCTTTAACGGTGTCTCCACCTTTCCAGATTAGAGTCCCAACTTTCTATATTGAAGTGTCCCTCTACTTCCTGTATAACTTTAGGGTGATAAAACCAGAGCCAAATGAGACTTCAGATGTCATTTAGTCCAACGCCTTCATTTAAGAAATGAGGAAATTGAGGTCTAGAAAAGTTTAGTGAGCTGTTCAAGGTCCCACGAGTTAAACAGCAGACCTGGGATTCAAACTCAGGTCCCATGCCTTTGAATTCAGTGCTCCATGTTCAGCAGTCTTCCGTGGAAATATATTGTATTTCTCTCTCTTGACCTTCTCTAGAAAAGGGAGAAGATCGGGATTTCACACAGAACTACAAATGAGGCAAGCTAAGATATTGTACCATAGAAACCACCAGGAATTTTCAAAAAACTAGTTTATTTCCTAAACCTGACTTTTTCATTAAGATAATTCTGTAATTTCATTTCACTCGCATCGAATCTATTTCTAATTGCATGCATTTCAAGGAAACTTTTGAACATGCAATATCCAATTTTTTAAAATACTTCTCATGATAAAAGAATGTTACCTGATGGACTCAAATTACCTGAGTTAGAAGACCTCATCCCAAAGAACCTACTGCCATTTTTTTTCCTTTGAGAATCCAATATTTTTTTTAATGCAGTTGAGGGGAGAGGGATTTAAGTGACTTGCCCAGGGTCACACAGCAAGTAAGTGTCTGAGGACAGATTTGAACTCAGGTCCTCCTGACTCCAGTACTGGTGCTCTATCTGCTGTGCCATCTAGCTACCCCGGGTATCCAATATATTTTCAAGAATGATATTAACATAAATTAGTCTTCAGAAATATATCTATTTTCACCTTGCTAGTTGTTTATGGAGCTAAAAGTGGACATATTGGCAAATTTTAATTAAAAATTCACTCATTTGATCAAGTAACTTCATTATTACTATATGCAAATTTGCTTTCCATAAGGAATGCTGAATAGATTTGCCTTGCTAAAACTGAATGATTTCAAAATTGTTCTATGTAAATATATGGATATTGATATCGATATCTAGGGGATCTGTCTATATCCAGGCACCTGAAGATAGATATCAGTATCTGTATATCTATATCTAAAGAGGATGGGCGTCATCCAGACTGTGATTTAGTTTGGAGACACTCTCCTTGTAGAACATTCCCTCTACCAGGGATCTGAGAGGTTCTATGATTTGCCCATGGTCAAAATGCTAAGGTGTATGAGATACAAGACCCCCACAAGATTGATTTTCTAATCATTATGCTGCATGACCTTTTTTTACGTATGTGGCTCCATCCATAGACAAAACAATTTTAAAAATAAATTGTTTTATACAATGTTTTAAATTAAGAGAATGTTTTTGTCCTTTATCTTGATGAAAAATACAAAAAAAAAATCCTTAATATTTAAAAGCTTTATTTCCTCTTTAAAAAATCAGTGAAAATCATTTTTTTACCTCGTTCACTGTTGATGAAAACTTTCGCCTAATTTTTGAAGTTCAACAGTTCATTTCTTTGAGTAGCAAAAGACTGGTTCTAGTCTCAGGCTAGGTTTGCTTATGAACAAGAGTGGGAGTAAAATTAAATAATTCATACAATAACTAAACCAAATACTTTGTCAGTTATCTATATATTTAACATAAAAGTGGGAGTATTTTTTACCTGAATTATCTATATAGCTTCCTTATTTTTCATTTCATTTTAGTATGTACATATATTCAGTCTTTGTATGTACATATATTCAGTACATATATTTGTCTACACTGCGCATATTTAAAAATAATCTTTATTGATATTTTGCTTTTATGTCACCTTCATTTCCAAATATATTTCTTCCTCTTCCTCTCCCCAGAGAGCCATTCCTTGTATTAAAAGAGATGGAGAGAAAACAATAGTTCATCAAAATTAACCAACATATCAGTTGAGTCTGACAGTATGTGTGATGGTCTATACCCATAGGTCCCCTTTCCCTTAGCAAGGAAAGGAGAGAGGTGCATTTTTTCATGACTACTTTGGGGCCAAGCTTTATTACCATAATTACACAAGGTTCAGTTGTTGGTGGTGGTGGTGGTGTAGTTCTTTCCACTTTCATTGCTGTATTCGTTGGGAATATTGTATTCCTGGTTCTGCTTACTTTAGATGAGCTCCTGTAAGTCTTCCAGTATTCCTCCATATTTATCTTAATCTTTTCTTCCAATGAAGTAATATTCTATCACATTAATGTATCACAGTTTGTTTAGCCATTTCCCAATTGATGGGCATCTAGTTTGTTTCTAGTTTTTGGATACTAGAAAAAGGGCTGCCATAAATATTTTGGAGTATATGAGAACTTTTTTTGAACTTCTTGGGGTACTTGCCTTCCGTCAGGGTTTCTGGGTCAAAGGATATGGACAGCAATGTACTATTTAACTGGGGTTGAGAGCTATGATAGAACTCCCTCACCTGTTACTGATTCTGTTCTAAACTGTATCATTCAGATCCACCCCATTTCTTTAAGGCAAAGGTTCTTTATCTTTTTAGTGTCATGATCCCCTGTGGCAGTCTGATAAAGCCTATGG